CAATGTGACGATTCAAACAAACAATCCAAAGTGAATCTCAATAACGTTTGCGGGTACTTCATAGTTTTGATGGAGATACCACAACGTTTTCCCATCCATACTTTTGAATGCTTTCTCATGGTCGGGCGATTTCGTTGCTATTGATGATTTTCATCCAATTGATTACTGAACAATAATATCCAGTGTCAGAATACGGTAAGTACATGATCAGTCTGATCTCGACATTGTGTGTCTACTCAATCTTCCACTTGGTTCACCAACGCTCAGCTGAAAATGTCACCCGGTATTCACAGTAACGTGATGTCCCTGTAGTTATTAAAATATCACGTTCTTAGTATCTTGAAGAGGTTCCTGACTTTCCATTTTGATGCTATTTGTTCCCACTTCCAGATCTTTCTGAAGATAATGTAGGATCTTTATGTCGCTATATTTACATCTGAATTCAGTGCTTCAATTCGTATGCTTTTTTGTCTTACTTTTTGCTATTCCTGATTTGTGTGATCGTCATGTTGGTTTTGTCTGTTGTTGGTGCTGTAATATATATAGAGAAGTGTGCATTTACGGCTTCAATGTCAGACAGATAAATGGAACCCGATCTATTGATGAGCTCTTCAAAATGTTCTACACACTTGCCTGAGTGTTCTTGAATTCCAGTGATTTGTTTGCCTTTTATGTTGTTAATTGATTGATCTGGTTTACTATACTTCTCCGTTAACCCTTCGATTGTGTCAAAAAGTCCTTACATACTTCTTAAATTACAGATTTTCCGTCGTAGCCGCCAGTTCTTCTATATATTCTTACCTGTCGACCCTAACTCCTTTCTCCACTTATTTGTTTGTGTCCGTATATTTGAGCTACATCTTGGCTTGCGCCATTCTTCTTGTGACGTTGGTGGTTGTTGAGTTCTTGTTTTCACTTCCTTAAATTATTCCCAGTGTTTCTATGGAGATCCATTCTTTATGCTAATACTTCCTTCACCCCAATTGCTTTTGTTATTTTGAGACTAATGCTTTCTCTGTCTCCTTCCAGTAAGTTTCAATAGTAACGTGCTTTTCCTCTAGAAGATCTTGTGAAACTGAGAATTTTCTGTGTATGAAAATATTGATGACATACTTAGCAGTATCACACCATAATTGTTTATTTTTCTCAGTTCATATGGCCTTACGATCCGTTCATACTCGATGCTGACCATATCAAACTTGGTATCTGATCTCCATATCTGATGATCAGGCCTTTTCTCGGGTCGTTGTTCAGTATGAACTAAGGTCTGTCATCAAACTGATCATTATCGTCATCTTTCTTACTGTTGGTGAGTGCTTAGCACTGAATGGAATTACAATTTATTCCTTTTCTGTTTTGAAAAATTCTTCGATGATCTGTAGCGTGGCGTCGTGTCGCGGTTGACTATGAACACCGCTACCAAGAAACACGTGCCAAGTAAATCAGAAGGCGAAGGTTGAACGTAACCAAATAAATCCATAAAATCCCCGAGAAGCCAAATATTATATGGCAGTTAATGGACCAAGTCGAGATATATTTGCTGGCAACCTCGTGGTATCGAAAGGACACCGAGATCGTGCCAGGATACAAGCTTGGTTACAGAACTTAACCGAATTCGCGCGAAGTCACGATCAAAGTGTAAAATTAATGGACGCTTTTTAGCACAGTTAAACAAAAGCACGTTAAAACAGTCACTGGTACAATTGGCTATAGTAATAGTTTTCAATAAACCAGTCGTGTTCTCGTGATAAAAGTGAGTCACTACAAATCCTTGACCCTTAGGTTTCCTATCTTACAAACGGATTCCACGCATCTTTACACGGTATCATTGCGACTCATTGTGTGCCTGCTGTTTTACGTGACCATGGTAAAATAGCAGCTCCTCTGAAGTTAGTGGTTTGTGTCTAGATTATGTCCAGCTTGTATTGTGGTGTGCAGAAAACGAGTGGTGACAATCAACTGGACTTGGGCACAAAACTGCATAGGAAATCACTGAAATCTGAGAACCATATTGTAAATAGTTAATTTGCAAAGTGTCAACCCATTGTCTCAGACTTCATTGTTTTTCAATTATGTAAGCGATCTTTTGTGATTCTTTGCACAGAAGTAGTGCGACCTCATATATGTATAGGGTGCCACTATTACCAGATCTATGGTATTAATAATAATAGTAATAATACAGAAATAAAAATCTTATCATTTGCATTTCATTATGTCTGGCGGATTAATTATACTTTGATTTGTATCATTTGTTGGACAACCAAGTTTCTTTTTCAATTCATTAAATGAAGAAACAACTGTTACATTGAAACTCAGTGTATTGATATCAAGAATATCGTAAGATTTTGTATGGAAAATGTATCAGGTCCAAAATTATTTCTTAGTATTCTGTACATTAAAATCAGGTAACCTCTGAACCTGCGACAGGACAGAGTAAAGAGGTCTAGTTTTTCAAGCCGCTCTTTGTATGGTAGATCCCGGAGCCCTAGAATTGCACGAGTAGCTGCCCCATGTACATTTTCGGGATATCCGAGTCACCTTTCAAACAGGCTTCCAGCCTGAACACAGTTTTCAAACTTAGTTCTCACTAAGATTGTATATACTGTAGTGAACATGGTAGTATCTAATTTGGTGAATGTCCATTTTAAAGCTCACTAGGTTCTAAACCGCTTAACCATTTTCTTAAGATCATGACTCGCTGTCGCCCCAAGATCATTGTGAGACCAGAACATATGTACAGGCGCTTCCTCTGTGCAGTGTTTGTTTAACTTTGTATCTCCGAAGTGCATGTAGCAACACGTTACCGCGTTGATAGACATCAGCCACTCGTTGGAATAGTTAATCACAATATTTATCTCTTCCTTAAGTGCACATGCATCTGCTTCTTCCGTTATTTCTCGCCAGATCTTCACGTTGCCATCGTATAATAACATCGGGGACTCAACTATACTTGTGAAAACATTTACATACAACACAGCCACATGGAATTGGTCTATGCTTCAAGAAGACCATCAGAAGAAGTGGTGGATTAAACAGTAGTTTGGGGATCAATAACCCAAGTGCAGGTGTGACATGCTCACTACCTAGACAGAGAATACTGAAACAACTACCCTCTTTTTACTCACTGAAGTGTGTCAGTCTTCCTTTCCGGGCTTTTGTTATTTTATCTCGACTGAAGATTCGCCTTTAATTACTTGATTTACTGCTGCATGATGCAACACCATTGACAATGGAGTAACATTTGACCAATCTCAAGGTCATGGCGTGGTTCAGTGTATAACTGGTATCCTTCTAATGCTTGCTTGAAAAGGTTGCCAGAATCCTTGCAGAAAGATACCTGATCACATCTTGTCGAGAATATTTTTGATTAATTATCAGCACTTTAGTTAGTGCCAGGGGCACTTCGTGCTTTTGATATAATTTATTCCCTTTATTAAATTAAAACAGTCTAAATTGAACACGGAGTTTGTTTTGATATAGAATACTGTCATTCTTGAAGTTACGTGACCTACACCGAGCGTTAAAACATTCTAGGTTAACATTGAGGCTTTTTTATGTCTGACTGTCTTAAAGGATGAGTCGAAAATTCTTCTTACGTTATGTGCATGAGGCGCTAACTTTAGTATACAAGAAGTTAAAGCGTCACTCGAAACGTCATAAAATTTCTTAGACTAAGTTCGGAGACTGGCGACGAAGTAAATGATAGAGCTAAAACATAAATCTTACGATGACAGTCTTTAATACTTGCGATTATTCTTGTTCATAAACATGAGAATAGGGGGTGATGTGATAATGACATGCAACATATTAAGTACGCAAAACCACCACAACAAGAGCATATTACCAGAACATCGTTACCACGCTCCTTGAGACAACCACCGGAAGATTGTACACCGAAAAGCGAACATACAAGTACACTCACTTTTTTTCATTACCAGTTGTCCCCATTTGGAATTCTATCCCAGACAAAGTGACTTTACCTCCACCAGTAGGTGGCTTTAAGAGGAAACCTGAAAAACATGTACCCACCTACAGATGACCATCTGTCTATTCGCCTAGCTGTATCGATTGCATGTTTCATAGATTACCACGATTATCATCACCGCATTTTGGTAACTACTTCCTATTTCTGTCGTTGACATCTCAGTTTCTCCTGTTATTTTTCGGATTGAGCCTTCCACCTGCGCGGTAGTGTGATAGTTACTGGTAACCAGAAACCCTACTGTCCTGAGACAAACTCACTTTATAAGCTCCAAGATAAATAAACTCAGATATATTTACCATACTGACTAGGAGTAGAACATTCGAACGACTAGACTGTTTCACACTGAATGTCACCAAACTCCTTTAATCGTAGTGAAACAACAAGAAGCAAGCGTAAAGGAATCGATCGGTTTGTTGAGCCTCGTGACACAGATATTGTGAATTTGAGAGCGGGTGAAAGAAATCAAAACGTCACCTCAAGGTTAATTAGCCCAACTAGTCTGGAAAGTGATTGTACTAGGTTCCCAGAAATTTGCTAAAATCTATCATATTCGTACATCAGATTTAAGAAACTACGTGGAATCAAATTAATTAGGACCCCTGGAAGTTTTCTTATATTCTCACGGATAACAAAGTGAAAAAGTTATTGGAAAACGTTACGAAGTCGTTTGAGCTGTGTTAATTAAATGATACTTTAGTAAATTACTATTATTCGTTAGGTGTTTGGATATTAAGTCTTAACGCTCGAAATAAGTTGAGATGATTATGTCAATTCGCTACTGCATTCTATTCAAATATTGGAGTCTACTGTCCTGAAAATATCCACTAAGCGCGTTTCCATAAATATTTCCTCACTTCATTGCCTTTTTTGGTCTGTTGTCAAGCGCATGCAACCGATTTACTATCAACTTCATATTGATGATGTGTCGCACGTTGCGAAGTTTCCTTTTAAGATATCTTAACTTGTTTGTCTTCTATGTTATAGCATCCCGAGACATTTGATTTGTTCATAGATCATGTCTGATAATGATAAAACCATCGGTCCTTTGCCGACCGGAAGTGCCGGCGAGGTCGATTATAATGATCAAGACGAATCTAGAGACGATACAGTTGGTCCTTTACCATCTGAAATGATGCAGTCTCAGGAAGATGTTAGTGAAGACGGTGATTCTGTACCAGTTCCTAAAAAGAAACGTAAAGGTAGGCCGTTTCACTTATCACTAAATTGTTATTTTATCCCTAATGAACCTCAAATATTATTGTTTTGACATTTTCTTTAGTTTGATAGATTACAAGTTCTCTTCAAGATATTGAATAATTATCACCCCAGCCACCACACCGTGTTCAATGTAATGCCTTGATCGTGAACGAAGCACACGTCGCACAACCAACTAAAGTGAAGATTAGTTTGTAAACAGCTGAGGTTGGTCAGAAAAATGATGCTAGTTCATGAGGTCTGCTACTGTTGATGCTAATCACGTACTGTTGTGTAGGCAGATGTTGTATTCGGGTTATAAGACTTACGGTCTAGCGACACGACTCAAAGTGAACGACAATATATTTTTCGTACACTCAACAGTTCTAATATATGTCACTTTACCTTGAGGTTTTGCCATTTTTTAAAATTCCTGTCTCTATTCTGTTACCTATTGTGGGACGCTTAACAAATATGGTCTCGTGAAACGTTTATCTGGTTATTCTGTTTGAAATTGCAACGTGTTTTAAAGATTGTTTATTCTTTATTTGTTCAGCGTTTGTATTGTACTTAGAAACATTTTACTTCCCTTTTTGCATTCCAGTCCTTAAAGATGAAGCAATTTACCTACGTAATATCCCAGTAGCTCAATACTATGAAATAAGTTATATGCATAGAAATGTGATAACACATGTTGCCTACTCAAAGTAAGTAGATTTTCAATTTTAATAATGTTGAAGATAACACTAATTTTTATATCCCCGATGAAACTTATTCAGTTTATTCACTACCGGATTACGAATAATATGAAACCAAGGTCATTCTGAAGAATTTCTTCTACAGTCTGGCGTAGATCATAGAAATGCAAATAATTGGCTAGCAGCAAACGAACTTATCATCGTAGTTTATGATTATTCAGGAATACCAACTCACGACTACAAAAGGGACCAAGCTTGAGACCATTTCTTGCTATTAGTGGAATGTCGACTATTTGATGGGTTGTTTCTTATGAATGTCTTTAGTTGGCTTCTAATTATAACTAAACAGGTCCGTTGTGCTAGTGAAGAAAGAAAATTTAGCTAGGAGATATTTCGAAAAGTCGTTTTTATTTCTTCAATAGCCTCTATTTCCCAGTAATCATGTTCCCACTTAAATGAGCGTTTTCTAGTGTTGCTTATTTTACTTATGATTTTTAAATTGACTTCTTAAATTACAGAACTCACTATTTGATGACGTGTAGTAATGATGGTCATCTTAAGTTTTGGCGAAAAGCTGATGGTGTTGGACTAGAGTTTATCAAACACTACCGAGCACATTTAGGTAAGAAACTGTAACAGACCTTTTTCTCTTTGCCATCTTGATTTCATCATCCTGTTTCGATTAGTATATTTGCTACCTTAAAGCATCCCGTCATTTCGGTATTATGTGTTTGCTGTATAACTCTCCCATCTTAGTTGTATAGGTTATTCATTAGCTAGCTTAGTGAAGATATCTCTGACTTCTATAGTGGATTTTCTGGGTTGGAATTTATTTACACACAGACGACATTTGCCGATTATCAATATATTTAGGTCTTAGGCTTTCGCCGACTGACTTCACACATCTAATATCAAGACAGAGTTTACAATAATGTCAATTTCCATAGCTGATGCAGGAAAATCTTTTGTACTTTTGATTGAGAGTGATCTTTGTATTTGAGCTGAACTATTGTGACGATCTTATCAGCATAAAACAATGCCTAAAGATTTTCAAAACCGTGTAAATTACGTTTTTTTTTCTGATTATCTGTTAACAGTCAGATTTCTATTTCTGAAGGATAGTCTTCATATCAGTAACTGCCCGTTTCAGATCGTAACCTATTGGTGTATAAGCTTTGAAGGAGTCATTTGAAAACTTTTAGATGTAAAAGAACGTCAGACAAATATTCCACGTCAGTATTGGGTTGTTTATCATTCAAAACATTTAAGGTGTTCTGATATTGAACCGAGGTGTTCTGGATTTTGCGACAAGCTGTTTTCATCCAAAACAATAGATTCTAATGAATATATTTTCTATCTTATCTACTTTCTGAATAGGTTGGTCAAACTTAATCAAAGCTGATAGTTCACTTATACACTGAACTGTATATTATATCTTGACGCAGAAAGTTAATGATAGTTTTGGTGACTGTAAATGTCATAATCAAAGGAATAAAATTTGGTTTGTAAATCGATGACTAAACGTCATGTCCGTTGATAGACGTTTGTAGAGGTTAGTGTAGATTTAAATTGCCACTTACTATGGATTGATATAGGGTTAGAAATTATTTAGAACAGAAGAATACTGGATCGGTGTTTCGCTAATTTTAACGTCTAATTATTATTCTACTTCTGAATCAATTTTAACTTAACCAAATATTCAAAAGTTTCATTTCTCCACAGTGCATAAAAAATCAAGCATTTTGATCAGTTCATTTTTTCAATCAACTAATTACTTGACTTTATTTTCTGGAATTCTAACCATGAATTATAATGATAATGTGTTATGTATATTCTTTTTAAATATTTCCACTCTAAATAAAATTCATTCATTTGACTTTCATTTAACCGTCAAATGCAGGAGCTATTCTTGGCTTGTCAGTTAGCTGTGATGGTGAATTAGCCTGTACTGTTGGTGATGATAAAACTGCCAAGGTTTTTGATGTTATTAATTTTGGTGAGTTATCAAAAGATTCAGATCAATTGTCCTTTCATCGTTTTGACAGGCTTAAATTTTGTTCATTTCTTATGTATTCTCTATCCGTTTAATTTGCAGTATTTTTTATAGATAGCGTTTAAGTAATGCACTTTTGTACGTTCTATGAACATTTGGTTAAAAAGGAGCATATGAACTACATACCCAGGAGCTTTTCTTCACGGATACACGTAAATGAATTAAAGTAATCTTGATCATCATAAAACAATCACTGGAATTAGTAATAAACTGATATATATAGTTCTAGCTAAACATCTATAATGTCATGGAATGTTTTGAGATTATTTTCGAACTGTATTCTCAACGTTTAATCTTTCTCATGATCATTGATATCACATTATTCCGATTCATTTGCTAGTCATAATGTTCGTTTCATGTCATCGTGGTGATGTGGTATGACAATTTGGGACATCACACATTCGTATCTGGATGTACGCTGACTGATTAGCCGACATGTGTCGTAAACCATTGGTTGTAATGAATATCATAATCACATAAATGAATCATAGTTACCTTCATCGACTATTTTCACTCAGATAACATTAATGGACAAACTGATAGCCTATCTATTATGTGAGGAGTTTAGAGATTTTTTGTTACACTCAAACCTATAATAATATCTTTAGTTATAGGACACTGATTGTTTCACCACGAACTCCTGATCATTTGAACGTTAGTGCAGCTGATTATATGTCCTATTCAAGTCCTCTAATTATCTTTATATGCATCAAACAACTCACCGTCGAGTTAAAACTTTGACTACATATTTCTGATAAGCCCAATAATAGATAGAATGACTGAACATAATAAAATCTGGGATATTAGTGGATATGTTCAGATGGTAGAAAGCGATAACTTATGAAGATATACTTAATAAATAACTTGAGTGGATAAAGTTCTGGAACCCTTCTAATGATAGTAACAGGATAGATAATCATCCAATCAGAAATGTGACGTGTAACTTCACTTTCTAGATGTTCGTGAGAAACTTCTTTTCGATGTTGATTGGATAAAATGTTTCCCAGAGTTTTCAGGTACCCTTTGGGCTTTTTCCGAGGAATTTTCTGAGTCTCCCTAACAACCTAAATACATATGTGGCCATTATCCCCATCTTCAAGATGTCTATGTATAGCCATCAAATTACTTAGTCAGTTATCTTTATACACATAAGATAAACAATTTAAATTCCTACCATATTTTCATATAGTTTTGAGAATAATGATCATGTTTGCTGGCTGGTTTTATCATAAACAGTGCAACATATATAGATTAGAGTATTATAACTGTCTCTAGTATTTATTTATGAACATGTTTTTCTCTTGCTTTCATTCAATTATAGATATGATCAGTATGATGAAATTAGATTTTTCACCTAGTGGGTGTTGTTTCATTTATACTCCAAAGGATGAGGTCACTGCAGTTGCAATGTATGCTGTTTATTAGTTTATTTGTTTATTTGTCGAATCTACTATTTATTAAACATTGGTTTTTTCTGAAACCAGTATATTTGGACTGTATCTTAATGTTATTGTACATAGACAATCAACATTAACATTTTGTATACTTTAAAAATAACTCCTCAATTTTCATAATGGAGTTGCAGAGATTGTTGGATTTCACTGAAATCACGAGCCGATTAAGGTGAAACAGTCATTGAAAACCTGGGAGCACTGAATAGCCTCCTCGTCTTGGTACAGTACTCCTCAGTAGTGCGATCTTCGGCTCCGGAAGCGGGAATCAAACCCAGGACCTTCGGTCTTGTGCGCAAACTATTAACCTCTAGACCACTGAATCGGGATCCAATTGTGATTTAAACGAAATCCAACAGTTTCCACGATCTCATAATGACAACACATCATGTACTCACTAATAAATAGCTTCGAGAGGAAATTTCTGGCGTTCTAGTAGGAACTTTTAACCAGTTGGATTAAACTGTCTCGGGTGTGAGGATTTCACTCGACGAAGATAATAGAATATGGTCGCGTAATATCATGGACTGATTGAAGTTAGACTTGTACACCATCGAATCCCGTCTCAGTTATCTAGAGGCTGGGCGTTCACGCGCGAAACAGAAGGTTATGAATTGTATTCCTTTTTGCGGGGCCGTGGATACACATCGCCGAGTCGTCATTTACAAAGACAAAACAGCCATACAGTGCTTCCAAGTTTTCATCGGTTGTGATCAGCTTGTGATTTCAGTGGAGTTATTTGACCGTTAAATAAGAGGATATTTTTATCAGGATTGGATTTTATTGCAGTATTGTGTCAGTTTGTCAGTCATGGCCGATATAAGGTCTGGGACAGATTTTCAGCAACTAAAGTTCCCATACTATACCAGCACAACATTAGCAAGATTAATAACGAGAGATCGGAATAATATGATAGCAATGAGAAAGACTGGTCGTTGATAATAGGATATTGTATTAGTGAAAGAACCAATTGTTTTCGCCAGTCCAGAGAATTCTTTCCAATACTTTTTTTGATCCTTCTTAAATCATTCTGTGTTAGTGATAACTACTATATTCAGTGTACAAATAATATTGAAGGTGCTAGTCTTTGATCAAAAGTTCAATATTCTCCTGTATAAATTCAAGACGATCCATTTTGACCTCTTCTAAGGTACTGTGGTAAAGTTCCCTAACTATATAAAACAATTGTTCAACATTTTCTAAACAAACATCAACAGTCAAAGATATTTTTTAGGGTCATAAATATTGTTCAGTTAGTATAATTAAACATTTGGTAAACTAGACATAACATCAACCAGCTGTTTATAAAACTGCAACATTAATTTTATTTACCTTATAGTTAAATACCACTGTTATGCATCAAAATCCAGTTGAAATGTGGACGGTAGTTGTAAAGATTGTAGTGGCTGGTACTATGTCAAGCTCACATAAGTTATTCTAGCTTCTGAACAGACCAGTATATTCACTCTTCTCAAGCTACATTTTAGTCTTGTTGATTCTTTGCTCATTAAGCCTGACTGTTTTTATTTGAGTGTATGTGTGTTAATTGCTTACTCTATTCATTACGTGTCTGTAACTTCTTTTTGATCTGACTATAATTATTAGGTCATGCTTAATCAAATCGAGTTGACTCACTCACTTTCTCCGCTGCGCGCCACTTCGTTCCTCTGATTGTCTGCTCGGACTAATGAGTGTGTGAAATATACGCATTCAAAATTTATTCTCGTATTTGACTTATTTCATTATGTTATTTCTGTAACACGAATTAAGTCGATAATTATATATGAGGGTAGCCGGCATGTGTATTTCGTTAACCACCATTATACGACTTAACTGGAATCAAATATAAGGTCAACAAAACATGGATAGGCAAAGTAATTGGATTGCTACAGCCAATATAAATTTCCTTTCATCTTTAATCATTATCCTACCATGTGGAAATTATTGCTCACTTACTTACTTACTTAGGCGTTCATCTCTCAATCATTTTAAGTTGCCCACTTAAATCCTACTCTAAATACTTCAATTTTCAGCAATTATTTTGTTTAACTTATATTTAATCATTAAGTATTTCTATAAACATAATACACATTAACTTCTGCATTGCATCAATTGTGAGTTTAATCCTATCCAAATGTTTGTTAGTCAAAGGTAGTTTGTAGATTTAAATAAGAGATTAATTAATAACTAGGAAACAAACTGTGGAAATATTGTATTTTAATTATGTATATATTATAACGGTACATTTGAGAAATATTGTTTACTTACAGAGTTATGGAGTTCTAACCATTTAAGAAAAAAGTTGTTTTTAAAAACCGATTTGTAGATCCGATCAGGATAGTTCTAAAATTCGAATATTCGATGCACGTAGCAAAGGTGAATTATTACATACAATTGAAAAATTACATGAAGCGCCTATAGTTTGTTTAGCGGTGAGTTTTTATATTTCAGTTTTGGGCTAGTTACATATAGTTCATATCTAATCAGTGTCAACTAGACTGTTAATAGTTATAATCTATTATAAGCACTTTTCAAATACCTTGTTTTTATCTCTTGAGATTTTGGTGTTAGGAATGGTGTACACAATCGATACTTAATTTCTAAGTTTTAGGTTTAATCCCTTACATTTATCTTGTTTTGAGTATAAATCATATGATTTATGTGAATTGCAGCGTACTAAGCGAATATACATGTAGTTACTCAGTTACGTGAGTTATCATGAATATGACCGTAGGATTTGACGTTTTGCTAGTTCACAATCATTGAGACAATAAAAATTAGATTTTCTTCAAACACCCATTCTTTACTTAAAATGGAATGTTGTCGGCTAAAGTTTTAATATCTTTGTGGCTATATCAATTAAGATTTCTTGCTTAATTACGCCCATTACCCCTCGCGGAGGAGCATAAGCCGCCGACCTGGATTCTTCAACCAACTGTCCTGGGCAGTCCCTTCCCGTTGCTATCCATTCTTTTAATGTCTGCTTCCAATTCCCGGTGCAATGTGTTTCTTAGTCTTCCTCCTTTCCTATTCTCTTCCGGGTCCCGAGTTAGGGCTTGCTTCGTGATGCAATCTGATGATTTCCACAATATATGTCCTATCCATCTCCATCGTCTTTTCCTAATTTCTTCTTCCTCTCGAAGCTGGTTCGTTCTCTCCCACAGTAGGCTTATGTCGATGGTATCCGACCAACAGACATTGAATATGTTGCGTAGACAATTGCTTATAAATACATGTACTTTTTTGATGGTTGTAGTAGTCCGCCAAGTTTCAGCTCTGTACAGTAGAACTGTCGTATTTAATATTCCTGTTGATAAGTAAAAGACTATTTAGATGTTTAGTATAAATTCTATGTTCGAATTCCATTTTTGATGATAACATTTGGATATATATAGACTCATCAGAAATTGTTTAAAAGAATCAAATGTATCTCCTCTGGTGAATAGTATAGACCTGTGCCATAGTTGAGAAATTATACTGATTGATACTAAACAAGCGAGAATCATTTTTAATTAGCTGGCTTTTTATTCTTTCTCGTAATATGGTTTGATTTGTTGAAAATATCTTACTTTTGAATTGTTTCTGTTCTCCTTTCTGTTTGCAATAAAATATACTTTCCTCTTATTATTTCAATGCAACTTTTTATCTTACATTTAAATATATTTTAAATATATGTATACTCAGTGGTTGCTAGGCTAGGCTAACTTTTTCAGTGTCTTGAACGAATCTCCTACTGAAGATTTGAACTTCAGATAACTGATACAAAGTAGATGGATTAGAAAATTGTTCATGTTCATTGCTTGAGGTGGTCAAATGTGAACATGTTCCCTAGGATTATTAAGTTACATTAGATTCATTCTAACAAGATTGACCCATAGTAATAAGTTCCATTTTGGTGTTAATTTGTTGGAGGCTGGTCACTTTGAATACATTTAGGACTTAACATTCACTCGACTAAATGTCATCACTTCTTTATCTCGCTGTATAACTTGGGCCTAGGAATATCCTATTAATTAATTACCACTTAAAGGAAGACTTGCTGTTGGGGTTCGGATCCTGGACTATGATTTTACAGGCTCAATTAATATGCAAATGGATTTAGTTTCTCGGTATAAGATTGGATGTATAGTTAATCTTAAGGTATCGCTCATATAAACTCAAGAATTTGTTGTGCAAATGTCACACAGTTTTGGGAGTATCTATACTTGTTACATCACATAGTCGAATAGATGCGCTTACTCACATGTCAGTGGTGAAATATTCAGTTCTCTTATGGCTCAGCTTTAGATTTCTGGACTGTTTGTCGTGCCCGAGTCACCATGTCCACTTTTTTCAGATTTTCCATGAACTCTTTTTGCTACCTTTTGACATATTTCCCATCTTCTATTCATTTTACAGTTTAATCCTGTATATGCATGTGCACTAAGCGCTGATTCCGACGGTATGCTGGAATGTTGGTCTGGTCCAAAGAATAATTACAGTTTCCCACAGACACTTAAATGGGAATATAAATCAGATACAGATTTTTATTGCTTACTAGCTGAAAAAACCTTTGCATTCAGTGTTGTGTTCTCTCCATCTGGTGAGATTTTAGCAGTTCTTGGAGCAGATAGAAAAGTAAGTGTCCATAGTGTCATTTTCATTTCTCAACTTCGTTTTCCTTTGTTTTTTTTGTGTTATGAACTACTACTTAATAGTACTTAGTAGTCTGACTTAAACGTAAAAATTATGCACCAAATAACCTCAGAGATTGAAATTTCATTAATTCCGATGTTTCTCACAGCAAATGGGTTTGAGGAAAATAACCGAAATCTAAATTATCAAAAAGGAGATTCAGAGACGTTTTCTAGAGGGGACATTGGAATTGTTGAAATTTCAATCTCTGAGATTATTTGGAGTATATTTCTAAAGTTTAATGTCCTACATATATACTGGCCGTCCAATTTCTGTCAAACTGTTCGTTAACACCTTTACGAATGTTTATGTAAAGTAGTTTGACTTATCTAACACTTTGTTTTTTTTCCTGTGTAATGAGTGAGATTTGTTTGTTGAGACCAATCCTTTGATCTAATCCGTCTATACTCTTGTTTCGATTCATTAGTGCACTCGTACTGTTGTGATAATCTTTCGTCCATGGTTCATTGTATCATGCTACTTGTCCGCCGTACTCTTTGAGAACATATTGTCTGTATCCTAAACTGGGAACACGAATGTCTAAATTCTTTTGGTAAATAATTCAATCAAACTACAACTGTAAAAAATGAATTTTGTACATACTTATCCTCTAATTTTCAGTTCATTGCATCCTTTTATGACATAATATATAACTTGAAGATATTTGATCCATATGTTGTGAAAAGCATTAATGTGCGAAGTATCTCAATGAACGAAGACTTGGTAGGGAAAACCAATTTATTATGTCATGCAAAATCACAGAGTGCATTTGTAAAATTTAAAAAAAACATTGAACACACCATCTGTACAGCTTCATGGAATTGTCCCTTACAAACTCCATCGTTCTTCTATTCCTGTTGTCACTCCGACCGCTCTTTATTTTCCTTCTCTTCTCATTTTGCTCTTCTGTTAGTAAGAATCTGACTTCCGATTCTGGATACATACTGCTTATATCTGGCTGTGTAAGTAGCACACATCACACTATTACTGACATTTTCTGCATCATTTTAGAAAAGATAGTTTATGGGTTGTTTTTTTCAAGTTGAATACATAATCGCTACATTCCTCAGTGATTTCTGTCCTTCAAATTCAACATAATTACTGTTTTTATAATTTCTCTTATTACGATCCAGCTACTCTTATGGCTTAGTATTCTTGAACACTATTTCACTCGACAAGTCCCCAAATCAGAACACGGTTAAATAGGAACGTAATTATATTCCAAATAAAATGATTGGATGGAGGTAGGGATCACAATAAAAAAGACGTTGGTGTATTTATAGTTTTTACATGGGAAGGTTCTAGAGTCTTCTCCAAATATCCACTAGCTCTGATTGGCTAAGAAATAGCCAATTTGCATATCCCAACACAATTCTTCACGGAACATGCTTCAATCCAATTCATATTCCGCTAACAATTGTTTTATTTTGAATTAATTTAGACGGACTGATATCTTCTCAAATTTTGAGTTCATCATCATTCTAGACAAGATAATCATCACTAATTCCGTAAACAGAACAAGAACACGAGTGGGTTCAGTCGAATGTATTTGAATACAAAATTACAGAATATCTCACTAAAGTCAGAGAACCATACAGTAAATACTTAATTTGCAAAATATGAATCCATTATCTCAAAATTGACTATTCCTTTTACAAATATCAGTCTATCGTCTCAGATTTTATTGTTCCTGCATTTTCATACCAATTACTTTCCGTTTCCGTTTATTCCTTCTCGATCTCCTACTGAAATACATTCTATTCCTAATTATCGTTATATACTACTTATGTGGATATAAGTAGCTCACACCACATTACAGTAAAAAACTATGTAAAAATCTTCATACAGACTTCTATTTCTTTTTTTGTAATTAATAAATGAGAATATGGCTTTTTCCAATTTTGATTAAACAAAGAAAATCCTACAACCAGTTAGTGAATCTCCAATAATATTTGATAACTATTCTTATTTATTTGTTTATTTATGTAAAGAAATTGTTGTATTTTAATAATCATCCCATCTGTTAATATAATTTAATATTTTTAGATTCGATTATTTCGTTTTTCTACTGGAAAATTAATTCGTGTTTATGATGAAAGCCTTCAACAATATTCTAATTTACAACAGGTTGGTAATAATTAACCAAATTTATTCATTATTTTCACAGTTAAATTCACAAGTTGATCTAAGTTAGACCACCATTGAAAATTTGAAAGTAATTCGGATGGGATTCCTTAACATTGCATATCCATGATCCTGAATGCGAGACATGAACCTAGGACTTTCGGTGTTGTGCATGAACGATTAACTTCTAGATTCGTGAATATATCTGTGACAATACTATAACCTACACAGATCATTACATACATTTTTATTATTTTATTTTGGATTTATATAATATTTGATTGAGTTTCTTCATTGAAATGTATGATATCTACAATAAAATATGATGGAATGATAGACGTTTGATAATGACGAAATCAATAAGGTGATTCGATGATTATAGCATTTGTATTACAGGCATAATATGTTTAATGGCTCCTAGATTTCAGTAATTGAAGTCATGTGTGATTTACACTAAAACGAATCATAATGGTCCATTTTTATTCATGAATTATTGTTCTCTTAACTAAATTATTTCATACTAGCATACACTTAGATCTTGTAAACTTTAACTGATTTCTGTTCTATATGACATTCGGGAAATAAGACAATTTGAACGGTTATATCGTAAATGGGATCTGTTTTTTTCCAATTCATTTATATAATAACAATCGACGTTTACTTCTTTCACACTTAGATATTGATAAGAAGTGGTAACGTAGCTAAACATTGAAATTTTTTAAGTTGCCAGGCCCTAGAAATAGTTCTTTCTACTTTCGAGTCATGCTGCTGTGTGGTCGGAAAAATATTAACATTGGACAGTACATTCCCTCACGTCAGTTTTAATCCCATCTATTTTTACGGTTTGACCAGTCACAGCTATTTTGCATCGACAATTATCGTTTGAGAATCGTCATTATATCTGTATTTCTTACTGTTTTTAAACATATGGTTTGTATGTTATTCTAATTATCTACTATTTTGGAGATAGATGTGTGTTTATTGATATATTAGCGCACATTGTTGTAAAAAGCGAATTTATCAGTTCCGAATCTCTACCTAGTTCATCTTCATGTTTAACAAATTAAATCAGGGGTTTCTCTTTGTTTAATTGGCCCAGTTATTATACGATATCTTTAAGTAAAAGAATATAAACTTTTGATTACAGAATAATGTTCAGACTTTCTGTTTATGTACTTTGATTCCCTCCTCTCTCTTGATGATATTAAAACTTTTTGACAGTTCTTTTCTTGTTTTCCATTTATTTAGTAATTTATACTCTTGAAAAGACTCATGTTGTCGATACTCATATTTGTAACAAACCATTTGGCAAAATATTTCCACTAATATGGGTTTTCCTACTTATAAGTAGTTACATACTTATAAGCAAAATATTAAACTTTTCGTTAGTATTGATTCACGTGTATTTCATGTTGGTTTTTTTTACAGACTAAACAATTACTACCTAGTATGGAATTCGGTCGCCGTTTGGCGCAGGAAAAAGAACTTGATCGTTCAGAATTTAAGCATAGTTGTAACTTAGGTAAGTCTTTATTTTATACAGTTCATTTATACTTAACCTGCTTTGTTATGAAGATGTTGATGCGATAAAATTAAGTTTAATAATATGTGGTACATTCTTCTCTGTTCAATGAAAATTCGCTAAATTGTTTGATAGCTACATAAGTATTGCATTTGTTGACTTTTCAGCTGTACTCTCTCCGTTTTGTTAAGTTTCTGTTGCTGAAAATATATCTAGAATCGCTTTTAAATGTTGTAATACTATAACTATGATAATGACTATAACTAATGTCGTGCATAAAATAGTTGTTGTTAGGACGGCTTTTGGGAAGCATGACGAGGCCTCCAGAGGCTATAAAGGAGTCGGAGAGATTCCATCCAGTCAGAACCTGATAGGACTTTCTAGAATATCGAGGTGGCGTGCTACGATTGAACGACCATGGATGAGCTGAATTATAATTGTGTTATAGCCAACGCTAATAGCTATAAATACCCGTGTTTTTCTGTGCATTTTTTGATTCTTACGCAACGATCACATTCCTACTTCTTCCAACTTTTGGTTTGCGACTGTGGGTTTCCATATGTTCGAGTGCCATTAGTTGTATTTGGTATTCTGCTGTAATCCAATAGACCTAACAGTCGTTTCCTTCTCAACCATAATGTCTAAATTTAACTGAATCCTAATTAATATTGTAAGATATCTGTGGAGATTAGTGGATTGTATGGTTTTTTTCACGAACTGATCTTAGATAACCACTGAAAACGGGAAGTTCCAGATAGCTGTTTTTGGTCCTAGGAGTTCACACCCATGGTCGAACTCAGAACACTGAGTTGTCTGAATAAGCCTCTAACATCAACACTGTTGAATCATTCTTAAATGATTTACATCTATAGCCTCAATTAATTTGTGATATTCCTCAACTATCTTCTAAGATGAATTGGTGAGTAACTACCTCAAACCTAAATAGCTGAAATCAACTAGTCATATCTTTTCATTATAACTCTGAATATTATCTCTCCAAATTAGTCACAAATGTGCAGATGATTATAATTGATGCTAAGGAGTCTCATATCAAGAAAAACCAGTTGTTTAGTTCTTCTTGGTTCGCAATAGTTGTTTAACAAAGGTCTGTTCATAATGTTCTACGTTGTTACTGACTGACTGACTGACTGTTCATAATGTAAACTATTGGATGTCAATCATTTATAGTCATATAAACCAATCTCATTTTTATTTATTGCTTAACTACTTAAATGTTATCTTTGTTGAACTATAACCTATCGCTGTTGTTTTTTTTTCATTTTTTCAGTGTTTGACTCTTCTAGTAATTTTTTAGCCTACGCTACTTTATTAGGCATAAAAATTATTAATATCATATCAAATCGTGTAGTTAGAAATCTTGGTGGACCAGAGAATCTGCGTTTTATTCAACTTGCTTTTATGCCACCACGTAGTACTTCAATATTTTATGGTTCAACTAACATTGGTTCTGGGACATCATCTTGTGTGCCTAGTTTAGAAATGCTTGCTATGGCAAATGATTCACTAACCGCGAGTAACAATAGTGCCACTCCGTGTAATTCAACAGTAATGTGTACACCTGTAATAGTATGTACTGCATTCAAGAAAAATCGTATCTATTTATTTACAAATCGTGAACCACATGATGTAAAGTCTGAGTATGTTACTATTGTTTGATCATTTTTTTTGTTTTAAGTGTTCAATGAAATCTTTTGTTCATTATATATTGATTTTAGCACAACAAATCAAATCACCTTTGTTTACAAGATTAATTAATAATTTGGATTGATATGATGGATGGACCAATGTTAAACCACCATTGAAAACTTGGAAGCACTGAACGGCCGTTTCGTCCTAGTATTCGGCTCCTCGACAGTGCGTGGTCTAACATTCATCCTTTCATGTTATCAATTTAAACTCAATAATCTCCGCAACCCTATACCGATAATTAATAATTGTTGTGTCATCGTGTCTTTTCTTTGAGACTTCCTTAGTTAGGCTGTTAAAGTGTGTAAGACATAGCAATAAAATGCATTTAGTGTAAATAAAGGAAATTCTAATATAATGTAAATAACCTGCCATAATGTTTCCCACTCAATAGCATTGTTAATCAACATCATTAATTGTAAAGTAATTGTGGATCCATGGGGTTTTTGAATGCTGAATTAACTTTAACCAAACCACTTATCAAAAGACATATCGGTTTAATTTTTTTGGAATTTAGTTCACTTATTGTGTAGCTTTAGTAAGCCAGTCATGACCATTACCCAAAATTTATGAAACAAGGAAAGTGTGCTATTTATTTGACTAACCTTATCTGATCTCTTTTTTGTCTGTTGAAATACAACGTCGATAAAAGTCTTGGTTATTCATGGTCTTTACTACCACCACATCATACTTTGGTCGATAGTACGACATCAGCTTTTGGTCTTATGTTTGCTTAATTTGGTATTACTACTGTTTAACAGACCTGTTTAACATGGTAGGACTGCTTTGAATAAATGTACCATCATGCATGGCTCAAATGTGTCGTTAAGACTTGGAAGCCTGAACACTGCATCAACGTAGCAGCTAACCGTTGATCATCGTATACCCTATTCAATCATATGATAGTTTTGTCGAAATCCATCTAAGTGGTTTAAAAACTGAACGTCCAATCATTCATTTGTAAATTTGGTGTAAACTCTACCCAATTCAGTTTAAACAGTGGGAAACTAATATAGTAACTCTAATTTTAATAATGTAAACCTGTGTTTAGTTGATTAGTGGTATCAAGTAATTATTGAAGTAATGGATATATTGTAGATTTTTCTAATTTGACTACTGATTCCCATTGACCAAAACATTATAGTTATCTGTATTTAGAATTAGTATTGAAGATGAGCACTTCTATGATTATGCTGCGTATTTCATGTTGCAACGAGCATTATCGTCTTGTTGTAATATGAGTCCGTCCATCTCTACTCACAATTATATTACTTTTTTGTCTGTATTTAATGTCTTTATGGATGCTCTTCTTAAATCGTTGTTGCTTATGTTAACTGATTCATTCATTTTCACTATTAATTGTCCATATTTTTGTGATAACCTATTCGACTGTTTTGCTATCTATCTCCATAGGAATAGTAGTGCCTTATGGACTAGTCGAAACAGTACATTATTATTTAATAAATTGTTATACTGTTTCAGGATAACACAATTACTAACAATAGGTCAGTTAAATTAATAAAAGAAGGATTAAAAATGTCTACATGAAAGTATATTTGGAATAAAATATATCAGAAGGGGTTTGTGGAGACTGTAGAAATTTCACAGATTGAAATCATGAGTCAACTGAAGCTAGATCACCATGGAAAACCTGGAGTTCAACCAGGTCTGTTGTGAGATATCAGCTCACTGAGGACAATGGTGTACGGTTGTGCAAATTCGTGTATTGGTTGAAGTTAGACATTGACACCGTTGGATATCGGCCGGCTCAGTGGTCTAGTTGGTTATGCGCCCGGCGCGAGACTGATAGGTCCTTGGTTCGAATCTCGCGGGGTGCGGGATCGTGGATGCGCACTGCTGAGGAGTCCCATACTAAGACGAAACGGCCGTCCAGTGCTTCCAGGTTTTTCATGGTGGTCTAGCTTCAATTGATTCGTGATTTCAATCTGTAAAATAAAATATATTTCACAATTAAATAATGAATAATTTACTCCCATAGATATCGAAACGACAACATGTGAATCATAACTTGAGACGCTAATCGATATCATATTCTAAATTTACCAATCCGAATTCCGACCATAATTTTTTCCTATCTTGCTTCCAAAATTCCATCTGTAGCTTAGCATACTAGAATTAGCCAATTATATGACCTGACCTGCACAGTTAACCTTCAGTCAACGTAAACTAATCTCCTATTGGCTCTCTATTCACAAATTTTTCTCTATCCCTTGCTTTGCATGGAAAGTGAAGTCAGAAGCCGGCTTGTATTGTCATTATAATTCAAGTACATATGTGTTTATATATCACAATCACAACTATACATGATTAAACCAAAAGTCATTTTGAATAGGGCAACCCGTAAGTGATAGATTGGTAATAAAATAGAAATAATAAGCAGTCTAATAATGATTACAAGTAGAATTTGATAGTGACCTGTAATAATAATGAACACGGACGTTTCCTCCTAGTTCAGACTCGTCAGTGAGCTTAACCTGGATCCTAAAATGAAGACGTATGATAGACGGGATATATAAACATAGAGTTAAGATGTATGCGATGTTCGTCCTGTTACAACAAAAAGCACCATCCTTTTCAGTTTATGTGCTTTCCTTTTCCTAATTTTTTTCTGTTACCTATGTATATATGAATATCGATAGAACAATGAGAAGACGAAGTTGATTTGAAAATTGTGATCTGTTTGCGCCATACATTTCAAACAGTCGGGTCACACATATACTTGTCAAAGCATTTTATACGAAAACTACATAAATGTTAATTGAATGAAGGTTCAAGTAAACGAAGTAATGATTATCAGTATGGGGATTGTATTATTTTCACAGTTGAATTCACCAGTCTATCTAAGCTAAGAGAATTGCTAAAGGGTTGTGGATCTATTGAAGTTAGACTTTAACACCGTTAGATGCTTCAGTTGTTAAGTGTATGATGTGATGGTGTTTGTAGCGAACGGTACCGAGTTCAAGTGCCGGAGTGAACATCATCTCTTGGATGCAGGCTCATCCAGCTGAGTAGTCCTAAATAGGACGGAACGCGCGTCCTGTATTTCACTGCTAGTCATCATCCATATCTGTTATTACGTTAGTTTCTAAATCTCTCCAAAAATCGTTATGTTTCTTCTTTTCAACTGCTCTAATGAATATATAGTTCAGCAAGAGTTAAACCAGTCATTCATTATACTTTTACATATGCCAATATTTTTTTATTGTTACTTTTGTCTGCCTTAAAATACCCGCTGTGTTGTAAATCAACATTATTATCAGAATCCTATTGGTGTATACAGTTTATAGCACTCTCACTTCATTTTACCTTTATCTTCCTCTCTGTCTCTATTTATTTCTGTATTTTATTATTAGAACTATCAATCACAATTTGTTTTCACTAGTTTTTAGCACAGTAATGTCTATGTACACACATATATCTTACATTCATTCATCTGTTGTGGGTTGGGTTCATTTATTCACAAATTATTGATTCATTTGTAATGATTATGCTCTTCATATTCAGTGTTAGAGATTTTGTGCTTTTGCCTGTATGTATGTATGTTTGTAGACAATAATAAGAAAATCGTCTTCTTAACTTTCTTTCAAACTCTTCGTTTATTTTTCCTTTACTTTTTTGCACATCATTTTCACAGTCTTTCCTTTTTTCTTTCAAACCTTTTCTCTTTTTGACAAGTTAAGAGAGAAATGTTTTTCAATCATGATGATAATGGTCTTTATCGATGTCAATAATAGCTATCAAACTAAGAAATTACCCAGTGTTGTATTATATGTATGTATATATCTATAATACACACATACATACACAATCTTTATGATGACTTTAAATTGATATCATGAATGGATCAATGTTAGACCACCATTAAAAACCTGGAATTACTGGACGGCCGTTTCGTCCTAGCATGGGACTCCTCAGCCTTTACTGATCCTGTCTAAGTACTACTGTTTAGTTGGACCTAAAAATGATTCATTTGTTTGAAATCAAAATAGAAATGGTTGGTTTCATCTTACTAAGTTCTTATTTGTTCTGCTGAATGACATACATCCCCAAAACTATATATTTAATCGTTTGTTAGCTTTGGCATTATTCATCATAAAGTGATAAAACAAGGGACAATAGTTTAGAACTACGATAGTGCCGTTTAGTGAATCAAACCCCAGTGCTTCCAGGTTTTCAATAGTGGTTTAACACTGGTCGATTCATAATCTCCATCAGAATCTGAAAAAAATTTACTGAACTAACTAGGTACTTGAAAAAAACACACAATCTAATCGGTGATAATAGTATTATAAAATATCAATGACTAAATGATTCATTCATGACATCTTGTTATTGAATATAATTCAGGACAACAAGTACTTTTAATATCAACATCTAACGATTAATTTCCACATCTCTGTTTCATGCTAACAATATATTTTTTGTCGTGTTTTTTCTCTCTTCACCTCAGTGGTGATACAGTCACATCAGGATCTACTGCCGAACGTGATGTATTCAATGAGAAACCAACTAAAGAAGAAGTATTAGCTGCAACAAGAGATTCAGCAACAGCTGCTTCACGATTAGCTGGTAGCGCTATTCTACATACAACTTTAGGTGATATACATATTCGTTTATGTCCCAGAGAATGCCCTAGAACAGTAGAGAATTTCGTTGGACATTCAAGAGCTGGCTATTATAATGGTCATATATTTCATAGAGTTATTAAAGGTTTCATGATTCAAACTGGTTGTCCTTTAGGTAAGTGAAAAAGAGAGGGAACTTTATTTAAATTGCCTTTATACATAAATTATATTTATCTCATGTTGAACAAATCGGTAATGGTACGTTTGTGGAAACTATCTGGTCAGCTAAGGAAAAAACCATGGTATTTGTTGATGACTATCGGTTGAGTGCAAGACTTGTAAAATATCTATGACCTAATTTTAACTTTCATCCTTATATATATATGTATATATATATATATATATATAATGAAGACTGCAAATTAGTGGCTCCGATAACATTGCACCTATACAGTTGGAGAAAACTACTTCTTAGTTTCAATATCCAATGATTCCTGGAATGAATAACTGTATTGTTTCGTTAATAGTTAAGCGTCAAGTTGTTGAATCAGCATTACAGAATTTAAATTGTTCTCATCAACTCTCACTTATTTTTACATTCATTATTGCTAACTTACTGTATAGGCGAGATATCTGTATACCAACTAAAGGATGAATGTACTACGCAGGAGTTTTCTCCATTCTACTTTATGATTGTGAAACGAGGAGGATATTTTTTAGGTGATTATTATTTAATCATAAATGTCTTCAAAGCATTGCTTGGGAATTTTGGGACTACCGAATGAGCAATGCCGATGTTAGGTGTAGGCAAATAGATGAATAAATCAATCGATTGACGAGATACTGAACCATTATCGACTGAGGTGATCAGGACATTTGTTACGTATGCCCATCCACAAACCACATCGATGTACTATAATGACCAGTGTAGGAGTAGGCTGGATGAAGTTGTGGGCGGCTAAACCAAAACGCATCATCAGTTCATAAAAACAGGTGCTACTGGACTGGTCCATGTAGGTAGATACAGGCAACCTGGCTGCAGTTCGCGTGATTGTTGTAACCAATAGTTAGAGACTGAATGGTATTGCTCAAAATCGTTTGTAATGACGCAGGTGTATTCACTCACTGTTTTCTCTGGAATCCTTAGTTTCTAAATTCCCGATCTTTTTTTCGTATTTCACCAATTTGTATTTTCTCAAATCGTATCTTCGATGCTTGATCTTTTCTATTACAACCAGCATTGTTACTACCCCCCAATACTCCGGGATTCGCCCTGACAATTTTTATTTCATTGCACTAATAGGATATAGCAACTTGAACTGATGTACATATGTGCCAAGTTATACGTTACCTTTGACTGACTAATATTCATCTTTAATTTTAAAAAAATTCCTTATACATCCGTAAAACACTAATATGTCAGTATGTGGTCTTTAAATTCGAAAAATTGAACATTGTAGAAAATAGTTTCAAAGGGGATTCGATTGAAACACTTCATTATAGTTTAATAATGTCATAATTAAAAATACGAAGTTCATCTAAGGAATCTTTTTTCAACGATTTTATTATCAAGCTTTACAATCGTATGAAATTTTTTTATGTTAAAGTACTGGTTCCATGATGACATATGAACAAGGAATAAACATGATGATGTAATAAGAAGATTATAATGCTAGATCACGTAGTATGCCTAATAACAATAAACGACTGCAAAATTCGCTTCGTAGTGTTTACTAAGTGGATAACGCGATGGCATTCGAAACGAACGGTACTGAGTTCGAGGCCCAGAGTGAACACCAAGTCTGAGATGCAGGTACATCTAGCTGACGAGTCCCAAATAGGACGAAACGCGCGTCCTGTATTCCACCGCTAGTCACTATCTATCTTCGCAAATAAAATATTGTGTTCATGTAGATAAAAAAACCTTGTAAAATTAATAAGTTAAGAACGGATTATAGTGTGAATGAAGATGATTTTTTTTATCAAAAGGGAAGTTTGTGGATATTGTAGTAATTTTAATGGTTGAATTCATGAGTCGATCTAAGATAAACCACCATTGGAAACTTGGTATCACTGGATGGCCGTTTCGTCCTAGTATGCGACTCCTAAGCAGTATGCATCCACAACTCCGCACACGGGACTAGAACCTAGGGACTTCGGTCTCGTACGCGAACGCTTAACCTATCAAAATGTTGTTGTTACAATAATTAAAGGTAATAGAGTTGTAAAAATGAAATAAAATGATATCAGGAACAATTATGAATAAAATCATGAGGATATGAAACATAAGTAAAGTAACAGGAGGATATTTTCAAATACGAAATGCATTAATGATACATTAAGACCAATATAACGATAACGATAAGGCGTACTTCTTTCGAATGGCAAGAGCTTCCACTATTTTAAGGAGTTGGATACGAAGAAATCTAGGTAAATTTGGACGAAGCGACTTGAATAGCCGTTTTCAGCCAGAGTTTTTCCAAGGTATGCGAGTTCTTCATCAATGCATTCTGTACTATATATCCGACGTATTCGGTAACATAAAGAGTGAATAAGATTTCTCTTTCTACTTAATGGAACCCAGCTATAGAAGTTAGTCAGCTGGTTATTTCATGTTTGTTTTCTATAAATGGTTCTTTTTAAAGAACCCTAATTCCTCCTCGTCAAACGATATCATAATTGTTTAGTTCATGCAATAATATGAAATCTGGTTAATACGCATCAATTTATTGATGAAACTGCTGATTTTATTGTTAAATCGCTATTTATATGATTTGTAAAGTTTATAAATAACAAATGTTATTGAGGTACAATTAGCTATGTATTTTTGTATATAGGCACGGGTACCGGTGGAGAATCTTTATGGGGTGGTGAATTCGAAGATGAATTTCATCCTAGTCTAAGACATGATCGACCATACACTGTCAGTATGGCTAATGCCGGTCCTAATACTAATGGTTCTCAATTCTTTATAACTGTTGCTCCAACTGTAAGTATCTTGTCTGTTTGTCCCTTTCCGTAATTGTATTTATTTAATTTTATGAAATCTCAATAAAATTGAGTATTTAATCAGATTATATATAAAGTCTTTAGAGAGCTCAGGACATTTAAATCTTACTACAAACACGATGGACCTTTGAAATAATGAGTTTAAATTGTAAAGTTCATGATTTCAACTTCTATCAACGTGTTCATCATTCAATGCCATTAGGTGGTAACTGTCTTAATTCTTATATGATTATCAATGTCAGTAATAATGTGATGGTTTGAAGTTTACAGTACTGAACTCTCAGTTATCATTATGTTCCAGGTTTGAACCTATCTCCTATATAACTATAGCCTTAGTAGCTGAATAGTAACTACATAGAAAAGCAAAACATGACCTTGTACATGAATTTTGAGTTAAATTATGACTCCGTTTTATACACGTTTAATTGATTCGGTATCCGTATTTCTGTTTACTCACAATAACTTGAGAACATGTTGAAGGTAATTTTCATTATGATCTAACGTGAACTATAAAAAAACTATTAAAATACTTAGAACACTATCTGATCGTTTTAAATGTACTCACTTATTACTCTCCACAATGAATCTTTACTAGGATATGCAGTACTTTCCGTCTTGCTAATTCTTTTCCAGCTAACACTACTTCTCGATGATAAAAGAACTTTGAATATAATGTTTGCTGAGATAGGAGTAGTTATTGAAAAAGCTAGAGGCGGTCAAACCGATAGGTTATGTCAGTTCATGAAATCATTGCATTTGATTGATCACTGAATAGTGACCATTGTCATATATGTTAAGTTACTCTTTGAGTTAATAGAATCCTGTTGGTCAAATTGCAATGTAACCACTAAGTGACCCGACATCATGTTCACTATGTTAAGATGTATGATGGTGGTTGAAGGTATTCTATGACTATTGTCGATACCTAATCTTTCCTTTTGGGAGAGAACAAATTAGCTTCTAGACGGAGAGGAAATTAAGAATAGACGATGGAAGTGGATAGGACATACTTTACTCAAATCATCAAACTTCATCACGAGGCGAACTCTAACTTGGGATTCTGAAGGGAAACAGAAACGATGAAGACCAAGAAACACATTGCACTAGGAATAGGAAGCAGACATGAAAAGAATGAATAGCAACTGGAAAGGATTGCCTAGGACATAGTTGGATGGGGAATGTTGGTGAGAGGCCTATGCTCCTCCACTAAGGATAACAGGCGTAAGTAAGTAATCTTTCCTATTACCACTACTGTGGTATATACTTCTTACTCTGACAGATATAAGTAGTATATAGCAGTAATCGTAGGTGAAATGTCTGTCAGCAGAAGGTTAAATTGAAGCGAACAGCAACGAAAATAGAGAGCAATTGTAATAACAACAGAATTGGAAGAATCATGGAGTGTGTGAATGATAACTGAGGAAAGATATGCAAATGGTGTATTGAATGTATGATTTTCATATTTTACAAAGGCACTTTGTAATTTTGACATGAAATGATTTATTGGTTCCCCCAACCCACCCCATCAAGTCTTCGTTCATCACACTACTACTCTGTTATGTCAAAGATGTACTAAATTCTTCGTTACCCTTGACTGACTTCAATTTTTATAAACATATAATTTTTTTCAATAGTTGTGATCATGAGCCAATTGAAGCTAGACCACCATGGAAAACCTGGAAGCACTGGACGGCCATTCCGTCCTATTGTGGGTTCTTCAGCAGAGATAGTAACTCACTGAAGACAATGATGGATGTGTCGCTCAATTTCGTGGATTAGTTGAAGTTAGACATTAACGCCGTTGGATGCGGCTCAGTGATCTAGAGGTTAAGCGTTCGCGTGCGAAACTAAAGGTCTTGGTTTTGACTCTCGATTGCGGGATCGTGGATGCATACTGCTGAAGAGTTCCGCAATAGGGCGAAACGGCCGTCCAGGTTTTCCATGGTTGTCTAACTTCAATTGACTCATGGTCTCACCTATTGAAATTCATATAAGTTTTAGAACAATTTTACTTTCCTAATCCTATTATTATCGCTACAATTTCTTTTTCATTATTTCATTATTATTTCTAGCCTTGGTTAGACAATAAACATACAGTATTTGGTCGTGTTGTCAAAGGTATGGAAGTTGTTCAAAAGATATCGAATATTAAAACAAATCCAAAAAATGATAAACCATTAGAAGATGTAAATATTATTAGTGTAACTGTAAAAGATTTAGGCGCCGGTATTTAATTTAAAAAATATATTTAAAAAATGTAATTGATTTTTCTAGTTCCTTTTTTTAAAGTTTGACCCTCCCTCGTAAAACAGAAATACACATTGTAAAAAGTCACTTTTTTGTTTTGGTGTATGTATCAATTGTTAAATACTTCAATGGTTTTGTATAAAAATATATAGCTTCAATTGACTCATGATTTCAACTATTGAAATTACTATAATATCCACAAGATCCCTTCTGATATTAATCAACATATGTTCACTAGTGACTGGCTTCAAGAGGTATTACCTGGAGTTCTAGTAAGAAGAAGTGACCAGTGGAGTTCAACCGAGTGTGTTGTGAGATGATAGTAACTCACTGAAGACAATGTTGGATGTGTCGCTCAATTCTGTGAATTAGTTGAAGTTAGACATTAACACCGTTGGATGCCGGCCGGCTCAGTGATCTAGAGATTAAGCGTTCGCGCGCAAGGCTGATAGGTCCTGGGTTGGAACTCGTGAGGCGGGATCGTGGATGCACACTGCTTAGGAGTCCCATACTAGGATGAAATGGACGTCCAGTCGTTCCAGGTTTTCCATGGTGGTCTAGCTTCAATTGACTCATGATCTCAACTATGGAAATATATATTTATAAATTAGGATGAAAATGGTGTTGGTGTTACCTAGATTGTTTTGGCTATGGTTTTCTATTCGTTTCATTGTCTAGATTTTAGTTGGCTCATATTATTAGTGAAACTGTGTCAGAGATTTTGCTACCAATGCAAACTGATCACTGTTGAACATTGTGAGTTTATGATAATTGTATTGACTGATCACTAAGGACTCACCAATATCATGTCTAGTTCTTTGTGCTGATCAAACTCTGGATCATGCAGTAATGTAATCAGTATTCTAAATACCTCGAAATCGTAGTGTTTTCTTGACATCATCAGTTTATGCAAAATCGAAAATACATCCCGCTAATGAGTACCAACTAGAATGAGACATTTAACTGATGATTCTTGTTAATTACCATCATTCATCGAGCATTTTCATAGATACGTTTTACCTGTGAGGACCGACAAACAGAAAAATTATTTCTAAAATTTCTTATCCACTACCAAAAACAGCGTTTCAACAAGATGTGTTAAAATAAACGTGCCGTTCACAATCCAGCTGTTTTTATATCACACAATGCACGCATCCAACATTATGTTACTCGTGATACATACATAACAGGATAATTTATGGACGACCTTTGAGCGAAGCTAAAGTGATCTTGAGAATGCCCACCTACTAAGTGGGACGAAATGGCGGTTATAAACCAATGTAAGGAATTATATATATGATTTACAGTGTAAGGAATTAGATTTATTGTTTTCGTCACAAACTGACCAGCTAAAATACAAAGACCCTATTTAGATGGACGAATGAATTTTTCGCCAAAATCCAACACTTGTTTCTCTAAATCTGATTGGTTCGCCCATAAATTGTAGTCTCGCCTCTAGTCTTTATCAGGTTGTCCATGTTAAGTTGTTTGTTGTACTTGGTTACCGACATATTTACTTGAAAATTAATCATGACCTAAACAGCTCTAGGTTTGTGACAAATCTAAACACTTTTAAGCTTCCTAATCTCTAAAAATCTGAAGTGGATATAACTCGAACTTCAGCTACATAAATGTAGAGTCTTTTTAGTTTGTTTTCAAAATAAAAGGTTAAATGTGATCAAACAGTAACTATGGTTTTTCCTGAGAGTCACTAATGTACACACATTTACTAAACAGACTTAGTAGTCCTATAAAAATTTTTTATACCAATTTAAACATTGGAATAGATTTCTTTGCTCATTCCTCCAAATGGTAGTTGATTTTTTGATCAGGGCTCTTGAATATTATTCTTCATTGGATCTGATATTATATTTCTATTGATATCTATGTATAAATTAAAATGAGCATTGAAATGAATTTTGCAATTCTAATTGAGATTAAAAGAAATTGTGATTACACCGATGCCGAGAGCGGGGATAGTCAGCTTTCCCACTTGAAATGCTTTCACATGGCCACTCCTATACAGTCACTGTCAGAAAAGTCCTGCTCACTGCCTTCTCGCGGCATTACTGTTGTTTACGAAATTGAAAGGACGAAAAGCGAATGTCCGGCGCTGTAACCGGGTTGATCGACACCTTGGAGAGTTGGGAAACAATGATTCCAAACTAATGGTGTACATGGGCTCCAGTATCATGAAGGAACAAATGGAGCATGAACCTATTGTTGGTCACCGGCTACCATGGGACTGCATTTGCTTACGTTGTTCCACTGCCTTGTGGATCAGACCTTTGGGTCAAACGCTTGAAGTGTAGCATCCGAAGAAAATCACATACTAGGATGAAATGGCCGTTCCATTGTTCCAGGTTTTTCATGATGGTCTAGCTTTAATTGACTCATGAATTCAACTATTAAAAATATAATTTTCTTTCAAATTAAATTACCACTCTTGTTTACGGAATTCGGTCTGTCAATTACATACTTTTGAAATAGGTTGATTAGTAATTATGAATTTCAATGGTTTATTCCGTAGATTTGATTTGGGTTTCCGCTACTCTTGTGAAGACATAGTAAGAGTATTTACCATTCAGGATTGTTATAAACTCTTCTCTGTTTATTGTTTAGTGATTTATCGGGTCAGCTGATGTAGTTAATCTATATGTCTTGATGACTGATAGCCCATGAAATATTCTAACCCTTGCCAAATCAGAATTGAGGGAAGACCAAATAAAGACTTCTCACTAGTTTTCATTACTCGAATTTAAAGCCCATTTGATCAAACTCATGAATTACAAAATTATAAATCACTATGAATGATAAATCACAATCTGTAAAAGTAGGAAATTTGTGCTACAACACTGAGTAACAGGTTTTGTTATGTTGTACAGTCATCTAAGTCTTATAGTAATAAACATAAATGAGCCCAAACTAACTACTTGAGTGAGAGGGAAGGTTTATTGGCTGAGACCGAGTCAAGAATATTTATCCTTGCTTAAAAAGTGAAGTCAAATCATGATCAATGGTGTGTGCTTTTCCTTCGGTTTAAATTTAAATGGTCTATAAATATACATGATAAATAAATGTGTTCATAACAAACTCATTAACCCGTTCAAACTGTCAGATCAAAATATGTCATAAATGCTAAAGAAACACAACTCAATCAGTCATTCAAGTAGATTGAATGATATACATTTAATTAACCAATTGGTACTTTTGATGAAAATGAGAATAATAAAAGAAAATGTGAATCTTCTCATTGATGTTTGAAACTGTAATTCATCAATCTTTTATTGGCATATATTTTTCCTGCGTTGATTTCCTTGATGTTGGCTTGAAGTATGAACATCCCAGGTACATCCTTGCTGACGAGTCCCAGATAGAACAAAATGTGCGTCCTGGATCCCACTGCTAGCCATCGGAAACTTTTATAGTGAGGCTATAATTTATGGACGATCTTTCAGCGACGCTAAAGTGACCTTGAGACTGTCCACTTAATAACTAGGACCATGTCCCGATAGGCATAATGAATGGTAGCTTTCGGAACCCACTTATGGACCAATACTATACGTATATTTTTATCGTATAATTGGTAAATCACTAAACTATTCATAATCGTGTTCCCCTTATTATGAGCTTTATTTTGACCTATGAATTATTATTATACGATTTACCATTCTTGATTTATTCCCTGCCTATTAATTACTACCTCCCACATTCACAGCTACATTTCACTAAATTCTGGACAAATGTCATTTTCCATTTTATGGTACGATGTGGTCTGTCTGATTAGTTTGTATATAAACCCAGTATGTTTGAAATGAATGATTCATATTGCAGAGGCTGAGATTGGTGTTCTGGACTTAACAGGCTGGGTTATGCGGTCAGCAGGACCGATAAGGACTCTAGACTACTCGCACAAGTTTTATGCGTCCTTAGTCCCATCGATAATTGACTGTTCTCTAATTGGCGGTATCATCACTTTATACATTAATAGGGCACACAGGCCACAAGAATAACAGTTTTTTTCTTACTATTGATTTTTATGTATATTTTTCTTCTCTGATATCAATATTCGATTGAATTGAGTTTTACTGAATAGGTTACTTTTACAATAAATGAATTATGTATGATTATGTTAGAAACAATTTATTATATCGTAATGTATTGTAAATAATGTATGACACCAAATATATGAATCATGGCTAGCAGTGAAATCCAGTTTGATGTACGTTTCGTCTTATCTGAGACTCTTCAGCTAGATGTGACTGTATCCTAGAGCTGATGTTCACTCCGGTTCTCGAACCGACTAACGACCGCTTCAAAAACCATCACATTATTCACTAATAACTGAATCCTACCAATAAGAGACTGATCAAATATACAATACAAAATGAATTAATATATTCAGTTCAAATGTTTTATTTATATAAATAAAGAAATCCTTAATGTCATCGAAGAAGTATTAAAGACAATTCAGAGAAGAAAGTTTTCTTTCATTTTTATAGTTGTAAGATCGTATTTATTATTAAATGACAAATAAAATAGTGTATCAAGAACAAGAAGGATGATTACATCGTACTATATATCAAGGAATTCGCTTAATAATTGAAAATTGAAGAGATATAAGAAGATGAAATCAAACAGGAGAGAGACAATTGTTAGGTTGACAAGTATCAGAAGAGTGAAGAATAAATTAAAAACATGAAGATGATAATAACGAATAAATAAAGTGAATAAGGTTGAAAACACTAGACGGATATAATAAAATCAAATTACCGTTTATAAAAGTTAAAAATTTGGACCATGGAACAATAGTGGTTAGCACATTTATCTTTTACAAACAAAGTTCAGGTTTGAGAAGATGAACTGCTAGACCTCTGCAATGCATAAATTGTTAATTTTTTAAAAAATTTTTTTCAAATAAAACCTTCTGACTGCATAAATAATTTTGAAGGACTTATCAGGTGGGTCCGTATGATCAAAGTTCACA